GCGTCCACAGCTCAGTTTTAGGCGCGGGTTAATTAGACCATGCTTTTTTCAAAATGATATTGGTCGAGCAGTCACTGTTATTGGCGCTTTATATCGCGACATGATAACCAAGTTCATTTTGCCGAAATTGGTGGTATTAAGTTATTTCCAAGTCTTGTACTCTCTCGTTTTGGTGATCAGAAATAGACCTCTAGATCGCGTGATTTAACGCTATTCAATTTCTTTTATTTTTATTTTTCTATTGCAACACGCCCACAACCCCGTGTGCTTTAAAGGGGTGATTAAATGTTGCAATTAATTCAGCCACATTTATGGAGAATAGTCATGGAAAATATCGACAAGCGACTACATATATGTATAGAAAGCCTTAGAGACCATTTGCCCTATATATGTATTACTTCATAAATAACTCTATCTTTTGTACTTTATGATTCAATAAAAACTTGCAAGCGAAAGGCATCCAACTGTTCTGTATTTAACTCCAATTTTGCGATAATTTTGGGACAGCCTTTATTTTAAGAAGACATGCCATAGATTGCTCTTTGGGTATACACGGCACCTTCCCCAGTTTAATTATTGATGCAAAGGGGGATTTTAGGCATAGTGCATTATACTAAACAACAAAAAATATAGGGTAGTACCACACACTAACAGTTTTTATTTTTCTCTCCTTTTTTCAACATGATAAATATTTGAACAGAAAACCCGTCTGCGTAGGCCGTTTAGGTCTGACTTCACTGTTATTAGTTACCCATTCTTCTTCTTAATTGGCGTAGACACCGCTTACGCGATTATAGCCGAGTTTACAACAACGCGCCAGTCGTTTCTTCTTTTCGCTACGTGGCGCCAATTGGATATTCCAAGCGTAGCCAGGTCCTTCTCCACCTGGTGCTTCCAACGGAGTGGAGGTCTTCCTCTTCCTCTGCTTCCCCCGGCGGGTACTGCGTCGAATACTTTCAAAGCTGGAGTGTTTTCGTCCATTCGGACAACATGACCTAGCCAGCGTAGACGCTGTCTTTTAATTCGCTGAACTATGTCGATGTCTTCATATACATATCTCGTACAGCTCATCGTTCCATCGAATGCGATATTCGCCGAGGCCAACGCGCAAAGGACCATAAATCTTTCGCAGAACTTTTCTCTCCAAAATTCCTAACGTCGACTCATCACTTGTTGTCATCGTCCAAGCCTCTGCACCATATAGCAGGACGGGAATTATGAGGTCCCCCATTTGCTGAACTAAAATATACTAAAATACTTCTCTTAACGGAAATATGTGGCATCACCGGCATATTTGTGAATTTTAATGTTGGTACCATTGCTACCTCTGTTTACATTTATATAACAATTTTTGAAAATGAAAAGACCGTACGGACGTTTTGCAAATTTTCCCAAGAGGATATAAATTTGAAACTGACACACCGTCATGCAGCTGACAGAAGTACCACCCCGAAAAATTAAAAAAGCCTATAAACAAAAATTTGACTTCTTCGTGTACTAAAGGTAATAAAGCGACATCTTGGGAGAAGCTAGCTGAAGTGAATCATAGGTGGTGCGAGGAGAAACCCAAGAGGGAAATTGATCTCATGGAGAAGGAATACCAAGCACATACTATATCATACTGGAAGGAAAAAGAAATCAAGAAAAGCATGACTTAGATATGGTTGGTTCAAATCCAACTTAACAAGTTTTAATTCCTTCTTAACTTAATCTGACAAAACATTTATCAATTATGTTTTTTCAAGTAATGTTGTAAGTTTCACCTTTAATATTCTGATTATGTGGTACATAAATTTAGTGGAAGAGTTGGTGCTTCCACTTCATCATAGTGGCAGCAGATGTTATGCAAAACTGCCGTTGTGACTTTAACTTTTTTGAAATTCATGCGTATTCCTAGAGACAACAAGAAAATCTTATTACCTATCTTATTGTCTTAATTAATTGAATAGGTTTTCTGAACACGTGTGGGTCCTCAACCGGGACGTTATTTGGACATTCGAGTTTTCGTAACCACTGTCAGCAGTTACAAGACTTCGTCAAAAGAGTTTGAATTCAAACGATGGAAAATTCCAAAGTTTCGAAAAACCGTGGTATCATGTGTAGAGCCTGTCCAATGATCCACAATATCAAAGGTTTTAAGCTCACTATCACTTCCGGTTCATCCGGTCTTTTAATAGCGAAGGGTCAGTAAAGCATTTGCTCAGGGAGAATAGCATTATTCCTGTAAATATTTCAATATATAAATACGTAATATTTATTTATCTAAAATTTGTTAAAGTTGTTTTTCTTTGAATTCCTGATCGTATACACTCCAGAACTAGACAAGCCCCATCTTTGCTCAGACGGAATCCATTCCGGAACTCTACAGGATCATACATTTGGAAAAAGTTTGGGCGATTACTAATTTTTTTGGCAACGATCTATAATTAAATTCCAAATGTCCTTGATACCGACATCACTATCAGCAGTTATTTGACTAGTAGTTAAACAACAGAGATTGGGGGTTTAACTAATAGTTAACTAAGTATTGTTAACAATAATAGTTGGTTAAGCCATTGTTACTGGTTAACTAATCACTGTGAATTAACATAAGTAATTGTTCATTTACAATAAATTGATGGAATCAGTTCATATATAACTATATTCTGCAATGGTTGCTCTCGTGCGCTTGTATATTTCGGTATAGGATTTTTGCAATCTGCAATATTTCAAGAGCAAGAGAATCCCCCTAGTATAATGGTTTGTTCATCTAACAGTTGTTATATAACCTAACACTTAAGGAGATAGATATAAAGTTATGTTTATATATATAAATGATCAGATGACAAGATGAGTTGAAATCCGGGTGACTGTCTGTCTGTCCGTCCATGCAAACTGTAACACATACACAATCGGACCACTGCCACGCCCAAAAAGGGGACGTGGGACCGCTCTCTAATAAGTTTAATTTATATATTTTCCCAATTAACAAATATAATATAATATAATATCACCCAAATTTACACAGCACAACTTTCTAATGCTCCCTATGATGGTGTAAAAATAGTTACAGGAAGGCTTTATACTAGGCATTGTCAAATTTGTACTATTTGCGTGGCACTGCCTACATTTATGTGAAAATCCATATCTCTAGACCTACTCTACCGATATCAACTAAATACGATACGCAACACTTTTCTAATATTTCTATGTTACAGTGCAAAAATGATGGAAATCGGAGTACAACAGAGACTACTTTTCATATAACACAATTCCATCTGATTCTTTCAGATTTCAGTATATAAATAAAGTATTTACCAATTAAAATGACGGGGTAGAACTTTGCATGAATAACGCCTTAGAGGAATGCCATCTTATAACCAAAAATTTTATAAATTGAACCTTAACTCCTCCCTACAGAATATAAGTACCTCATTGTCTATAGTTGACTTTTTTAACGAAAATATCGGTCAATGTGTGAGATATATAATTGAAGTACGGAGGGAATCCTTCCCTCAAAACAATGTCTGTCAAAAATGAGTTGAATGTGATCAATACTTCCTTTAGCCTCCATATACTTAATAGAAAGATATTTGAACTTCCGGGTGACTTTATACTTCACATATCGGCATATATGTGAGCTATTTCAATGAAAATTGCTGAGCGTATTTTATTCGTAACAGTTATTTTTTGTGTCTAAAATTAATAAAATCGTGTGAAAACTTACCCCTATACATATAACTAATAATTGAATTTTCGAAAGTACAATCACAAAAAAACAAAAAAAAAAAATATTTTGACTTTGTTTCACAATTTTTATGACATTTATGTGAAATTGATTTATTTTTATTTTTTTCGTGTTTGAGTTGCTTAGAATATATAAAAAACGGCAATCGATTAATATCTACGATGATCTCTATTCAGTATATTCAAAATGGCAAACAATAGTTCTTTATAGTTTTGTGACCTGCCAACTATTAGGCCACAAATTTGAGACAATATTTTGTGACTAAAGGCTAGAGACTGTATCGTGAATAATAACTAGTCACAAATAGAGAATTTACCTCAAAATATTTCATTTAGTGAGTAGAGACTGATTGCAGAATTTCGCTATTAAACCCCTTTTATGAAGTTTCGCCTTATAATTTTCCGGTTAGCAATATTTTTTTAAGAATCAGCAATAATCTGTACCTAGTGGAACCGCTCTCTCTGTGTCTCACTATAGTTTCCTAAATTATCTTAGTTAGTGCTTTAAACTTTAATTTAAAATGTAAACATTTTGACTAAAAAAGCGTTTTTAAGCTTAAATTTTTGGAACAGGCATCCGAAGTTTTGAGCAAATAACTTTGATATAGATGTTTTCATCCACCTTTTCACTTTCACTGCGAACTTGTGCGGATTATTTGTAAGTTGCTGACTTAATTATATGAGTGCATGCGAGCTGCTTTGAAACAGAATGAGAGATTTTTATTTAGTTAAAATATCTCCATGTTCGATTTTTACTAAACCTTAAAATTTTCCGCATAATTTTTCGGATATTTTTGGTAAGGAGTCTGATAGTAAAGATCGCGATTTTTTTGTGTGGGGAAAAGGAACACAAGGATAGGATTCTACCTTCATGGCAGAAAGTATTAATTTTATTATTATAATAATAATAATAGATAAAAAGAATATAAGATAAGAAAATAACTAAAAAATATGATCACTCGAAAACATCAAAATTTGCTAAGAAATTTAAAAAAAAAACTATATGTAGAGCTCTGTTATCCAATAAAAACCATTATTATACTTTTGCGATGATATTATATGCTATAACACTACTGAATCCGTTAAAACATACAAAAAATCTTTTTGACTGCTTGGGACTATATATGCATACACAGTTCACGACTAAGTCGATATTTAACCTTTTTAATATCCTGGATTCATCACCGTTTGACATACATACGTACGTAGTTATAGATTTAAATTTTAAATTCCTCTTTGCATATTTATAAAATAAAAATAAAATTACAATTAGCTTAAGCTTTCAATATATTGGTATTAAAGTATCAAATTTATATTCATATATTTAATGTATGTACATGTAGTGGTTGTGTCAAACTTTTCTTAGATTTCATATTATTATTGTATTGTAAACTTGTACTAGAATTGGTAAAATTAATTTGAAGGTAACTTTATAAAATGATTCGCTGCCAATTATCAAGCACACGAAGAGAAAATTGACATTAGCACATTTTCATTTTATAACATTGCATTCTTAAATCAAAACCAACATTTTTGAGTAATGAATAGCAATGGAGCGAAAATGAAACTCTACCTATAACTGCATAAAAGGGGAGATTCTCTATGATTATATGAAGTGCAAAACTCCTATGACCAAAGTATGTAAGAGTACGTGAGCACCACATTGCAGAAACATAAATACCAGTGATATATGTAATATACAACTGCCATAGGATTGCAATTATTTTGCAGCTTTTGCATAACAAATTTACACGTTTTTTCTAAGAGAAAGAGAATCTCCCTTATGTTGTATGTAATATCAAACAGACCATCTAAAATGAACGTATTTGTTCGCAATTCGCCGAAGTAATTTCAAAATCTATACTTATACGATACTTTTGGCTTTCTATTAGTAAAAAAAATGCCATTATTTAAAGATCCTAAGTCATGGAATTATCTAATAATACAGTCTACATAAGTTCTTCTTGCATCACGTGTTAAATTGTTCAACAAAGCTATTTCATTCACTATATATATATGTATATACACAGTAACCTGATTTTTTAAAAATAAAAATATGAATGTATATACAATAATATGGAAAGATTAATCGCTTCTGTTCTGTCACGTTACAGCCCGGCTTTGCCCTGCAAAATATCTTCAAACTGTTCCTCAGACAAGAAGCGATATATGCCATCTTTGTTTAAGTAATATATTGGATCTTTGATTCGACGAATATCGAAGGCTTCTCTGGAAAGCTCTATTTTTTTCAGTTTAAAAGTAGCGGTGCGTGGTATATCGTTCATTAATCTAATAAAAAGCGGTCGCGCATAGGCTGGCAAACTTCCCCGAACGCCAGCTGATAGATGTTGCATGTCCACTTTGCGATCAGGATCAACTATAGCTGCCATACCAGCTTTGCCTTCTACGTAGGGAATCTTTAAAGAGTTGTAAAAATATTGAGAGAATAATCACTACAGCATCACAGTGAAACTTACATCCACCCCATATACAACACAATCTTTTAGACCAATCACGTTCGTAATATTCGCTTCCACTTCTTGTGTGGCGACATTTTCGCCACGCCAACGGAATGTATCACCAGTGCGATCTTTGAAGTAGAAATAACCGAGTATGTCCACAACCACCATATCCCCAGAATTGAAAAATATATCTTCTGATCTGAAAACATTTCGCAGCAACTTCTTTTCGGATGCTTCTCTGTCGGCATACCCATTGAATGCAGTTACCGCCCGCTTAGGATTCACTTTACCTACGAGCAAACCTGTCTCTCCCGGTGAACATCTTTGGCAATACCCATTCGAATTGCGAATGGGTTCGCCAGTTTCTTCGTCACATTTAATGATTTGCACTGGATAAAAGTAACGCGCAATTAATGGTACGAAACCCACAGCACCCACTTGATTGGCGACATTGGCTGAAAGTGATAATGCCACTTTTATTAAGTGCATATAATATTAAAGTAATAAATTATAATTATACCGAGATTGGAATTTCCCTCTGTTGAGCCGTAGACCTCTCCAATACTCGGAATATTAAATCTTGATACGAATTGTGACCAAATTTGTGGACGCAACCCGTTGCCGTACATCAAGCGTAGTCGGTGTTGTGTATCTTCTGGCTTTGGTGATGTGGATAACAAATAGCGACACAATTCACCAATATATTGTGCTACAGTGCAGTTATATTTGATGCAATCCTTCCAGAAATTTGATGCTGAAAACTTTTTTCGCATTACTATGGTACAACCATGAATCAGCGCATTTCCCACACCAACTATACCTCCAGCCGTGTGATACAGTGGTAACGCTGTATAAATAATATCGCCAGCGTTAAGAGACAACATGTGGTGGATTCCGCTAGCCATAAATAAGTATCTAAAAACAATAAGGTATCAAGTTTGTCTGGGAGAGAGATAAAGTGATTCAATTTACCTTAAGTTATTTATTACAGCAGCCTTTGGTAATCCCGTAGTACCAGAAGTGTAGACGAATAATAATTTGTCCTTTGTACTGCAAGCCGCAATGTCCGCGCTTAGATCCTCTATTGGCTGTAGCTCTAGGGCGGCGGTGAGATCAACAGCACCTGTATATAATCATGTTATTCTGTAGGTTTCATAAAACAATAACATACACGCTAACCTTTAAAAAGCTTAAAATTATCGTTATCCCGCTGTTCTTCATCGCTAAATTGGTAAATCGGCAAGGTTTTGATATCCACCTCATCGTAAATTTCTTCCAAAGCCTTGCTGAGCTCTGTACCAATAATTATTATGTTGGCTTTTGCCACTTTGATAGAATGCAGTAGGGTATCGCGTCGTAGATTCGAATTAATTAAAGCTGTTACGACACCGATCTTGGAGAGACCAAGCCACAAACATACATACTCGGGCCTGGTCTCCATGACTAAAGCTACACAATCACCATGTTTCAAGCCTTGTGCTTTGAAATATGCACCAACTTTATTTGTATAGTTCTCTATCCACTGAAAACTAAGCGAACGATCGTCCATTATAAAGCATGGCTTTTTGGGTTGCTTCTTCACACGTTCTTGAAATATGCGTGCTATTGTCCATTGCTTTCGTTCCATGCGCATAATAAAGAGGTTCATTCTAAGAAAGCGATATCCAGCTCTGAAATTATTCAAATCAAGTTTTAGCTATAGCATTTTGTTCCAAAAAAATAAACTTACATAATATCACGCTTAACCGTAGTCCCGAAAGCATACACTAACGTCGGGTTCCTAAACATTAAAGCCAATGCAGCGCCCAAAAACAGGCATCCGTTAGTACTGTCTTTAAATGCTATGAATGCCAATAATCCAAAAATGAGAACGACCAGACGGGTGGAGTTGCGTTGTTTAAAATTCAACTCCAACAATATCTGCATTTTGTTCAATCTAAAATCTATTCAATGGAAATAAAATGATAAATTTGGCTATTAAAAAGTTCCCAAAATTAAAAACGTAAAAGAACGTCATTGATAAAATTTAACCTAGTCAATAATATGTAGCAGACTTCTAAACATCGTGACCTAAAATACAAATCAACATATCGTGCAAAAACTCCTGAAAAGTGATGTTGAGACATATTGCACTTTAGATGGAGAAATGTATGCCAGCGTAAGTAGTGTAACAACGGTTCTTTAGCTTGTTAAAAAGCTTTTAAAGTGAAGTAGAAATGTTATAAACGTTGATTCAACTCCGTCTCAATGTACAAAGTTTAACGCTGAGCAAAGACAGTAAAATCTGTATCAATTTATCTTCCAAACTCGACCAGCAATTTTCAGTAACCAAGTATTAAGTCAAAATGTTCTAAACTAATGAACTGGAACGAAACCGAGAAGCTTGTAAGATATTAACAAACATATCCCAAATTTGATACCAATTCCTACAAAGGCCTCAAGTACCATTTCGGGAATAAAATTAATTTTTTTTTTTTAATTTTTCTGCCCACAGAAACTCTTTGTCACTGTATATATACCTTCTATGATTTTGTATCTTAATTTACGACTTAGTAATAGAGCGTCATCTTGATTTGACAAGGAAATATGGTAATAGTTTCATAATTCTATACCAGAGCTAAGTAGTCTAGACATTCCTTTACTAGTCTTGATCTGTCTATCTAAAACAGTCGAACAATGTTACTATCAAATATGTCTCTTTTTCTCCATGAAAGTAGTATAATTCCAAAACCCTATTTCGGGTTTCGCGCAAAACGTGGCAATAAATTTACTAACGAATTCAGAAAGGTTTTCAATTAAGTGCGCCATAGAGGTCTTTTATACATATAAAATTAAAAAGATATTCCCTTTCGAATTGAATAAAACATAGAAGTCTTAATTGAAAAATGGGTAATTATGGATAAAAGTAGCAAATGTCATATCAGATGAACGACCGATTAAAGTTGGTGTACTGCAGTACGCCGTAGTATATGTACATATAAACATATGTTCGATCAGAGCGTCACAGCCACTAGAGGATCACAAAGCTTTTCTTGACGAATGCTTAGCCTACTGGCTTACTAAAGTAAATGAGGAAGAGCGTAAGCATGTTACATTTAAAATAAGACGAATAATGTGTCAGCTGATTAAATTGAATAGCGTCTTAATATCTCAAACAAATGTAACTTATCTTAGCAGACACTTAGATACAATAGATAGACCCGGTAAAAAGACATATCAAGCAAAATAACTAGCATGAAAATAAGAACAGCAAATTTTGTAAATAAAAATCTACAACAAAGTACTGTTATACAAAGCATCATAAAACCGATTTGGATGTATTGTATTCATTTGTGAGGTATGACTGTGCAACTAACATTTGCAAAATGCAGAATTCCAATCAAAAACCTTTGAGTGATAAGGGGTTCACCACGGTACATTCGTACTGAAAATTCATTCAAGGAAATACTTTCAGATTTAGCAAACTTTTCTATTAAACAAGAAAAATTGGAACTTCGACTCTGTCGAAGCTATAGTCCTACCCTTCACAAGTACATTTATTAAAGTAAGCATATATAATATTATAATTTTGATTCGTCATATAGTACAATTATTTCGCCGATTGTACTATTGACGGACAAATGGACCTTTTACTACATATGTACGTACATATTTGATTGGGTCTCCGAAACTTTCTTCTGGGTGTTTCAAATTTCGTGGCAAACTTAATATACCCTGTTCATTGTATGCAATTGCAATAGTAAAATACTAATTCGTTGGTATAGGAACGTATGATATAAACATTTTCTTGTCGGAGAATAGCACGATAAAATTAAATAACTTTTAACTTTTTGTGACTGACTTTACAGCGTTACATGACCATTTACCGTTACTAAAACTAAGCGAGAGAAATACGATATCAGCACAAAAATTATTACTATAGTGAAAACTTTAAGACATCTGAAAATATTTCACACGCCTTTAAAAGATTTCCCTAGTACCAGCTCTCTTTAAGCCACATATATCGTATATGGAGATCTGGGAGGTCTGCTCTTTCACCAATCCGCGGACACACCCGCATCGGTTGAAATAAAAATTCGTAAATAAGCTGACTACAAGATTGAGCTACTCGATAATCAATTTCTCTCGCGTTAGTGGCGTCATTGCACGGTGAGGCTAAATACGCCTAGCTCCACTGTTTTTATTACCAAATTGTTAGGGATGTGGGTATCTAAATTCCTCACAGATAAGTATACAAAATACACTTACCAATATTGGAATCATTAGGTATACTAAAAAACATATTATAGAGTGACTGATTTTGCAGTCTGACCGCCAGGAACCGTAAGATGGAACTATTTAATTGGAGTTAAGGTAAAAACTCGAAAGTAACAATATAATACATATTGTATACCTTTGTGTTTAATACTTACATTTTTATATAAGTAAGTTTAAGTAGTTCGGCACTTTTTGCAATGAATCTATAAGTAAAGAATGTCTTGTAGTTAGTGCATATTTAGCTGATTTCAATTGTAGTATAATCTCTCATTTAACATATAATATTAACTACATTTGATGCGTTTATTTTTTTATATTTTTAATACGACACCAGAGTCAATACTCTCATTAAGAGGAAAAAGACCAGCGCACGATTGACAATCTCCAGCTTGTATACATAATAACATACTCGTAGAAATGAATATAAAGGGTGATTCATTTCGGGATACTCTACTTTTTAAGAGAAAAAAATACAGAAACTTCAATTTTAATGGGGAATGATTATTACCACTCGAAAAAACATTTTTTGGTGTATATACTATATACTTATAGGTACAAATATTTGAGGTAAACTTATTTCTAATAACTGTCAAAGTTTCACTTTTCATCTAAGTGTTTGAATTGACCGGTTTAATGACCCCTTTACCCAATTTAATATTCTGTTTGTGGCAATTTTTTTGATAAGTGCCCTAACGCAGGTCTTTAGATACATATATACAGTAGAATTGCACAAAAGGTAACTCGTGAGAAAGTTAAACCTCGGCTAAGTTGACCGATTTTGAGCGTTCACGTACCGCTCTAAAAAGTTTAATTTTGGTTGTCTTTTTTTAACTTATCTATTTTTATTCAAACCTAACCGTTTGCTATGCTTTCCTCGAATTTATATGCAAACAAGTAAGGAAGGGCTAAGTTCGGGTGTCACCGAACATTTTAGACTCTCGCATGATAAAGTAATAATCGAGATTTCAGGCGTGGTTGTGAACCGTTTTCACTTATATTTGGTACATGTCATCATTATACACCGAATTTCATTGAAATCGGTCGAATAGTTCCTGAGATATGGTTTCTGGTCCATAAGTGGGCGACGCCACGACCATTTTGAATTTTTACAAAAAAAGACTGGATGCAGCTTCCTCATGACATTTCTTCCGTAAAATTTAGTGTTTCTGACGTTTTTTGTTAGTCGGTTACCGCACTTTTAGTGATTTTCAACATAACCTTTGTATGGGAAGTGGGCGTGGTTATTATCCGATTTTTTCCATTTTTGAACTGTACATGGAAATGCCTAAAGGAAACGACTATATACAGTTTGGTTGACGTGGCTATAGTAGTTTTAGAGATATGTACAAAAAGGTTAGAAGGGGGCGGGGCCACGCCCCTCCCTAATACGATCCTTTGTGCCAAATTTCATTTTAAATATCTTTATTTATGACTTAGTTATGACACTTTATAGGTTTTCGGTTTCCGCCATTTTGTGGGCGTGGCAGTGGGCCGATTTTGCACATCTTCGAACTTAACCTTCTTATGGAGCCAAGAAATACGTATACCAAGTTTCATCATGATATCTCAATTTTTATTCAAGTTACAGCTTGCACGGACTTACGGACAGACAGACATCCGGATTTCAACTCTACTCGTCACCCTTACCACTTTGGTATATATAACCCTATATCTGGCTCTTTTAGTTTTAGGACTTACAAACAACCGTTATGTGATCAAAACTATAATACTCTCTTTAGCAACTTTGTTGCGAGAGTATAAAAATTATTGTCTATGTGGCGAGGTATATATAATACATATGTACATTGTGTGTCATGAGCGTTTGAACTTGTGAATTGTGTATAGTTAGTGTTTTGAAAAATGTCAACAAAGCTGAAAAATTCATTGCAAATCAGATTAAATTTACGGAGAGACGGAACATGGCCGAAGAACAGCTGGATAGCATCACATTTATGTTGTGTTTATTGAAATCATCGATAAATTCGCATTCCCCGTTGCTTCAAAGGATTTGAAAACCCATTGGAATATGATAAAACGCAAAAGTATTGGATGAATTGAAACGACTTCGGGAGGTAAAATCGTTTTTGTCCAAGGTGAGTGGTGTTGGCGACAGCAATGAAGACATCAAAAATTGGAACGACGATTAAAATATGAAGACGAGAATTGTCAGGAGTTATTACACAAAAGAAAAAAACAAACATCAGCCATAATAAATTAATATGTGCATGTGTATGTACGGTGAAAAAGCACAAGTTACGAGTAAAATACAAATAAATTGAACGTATTATATCACTAATATGATTTATTTCCGAGTTTTTTCAAATTCGAAAACCCTTTAGAGAAGTTAATAATTCGGAATAGTAAAACGCTCTTGGGACATTTTGGTTAACTTTTTCGCGATTCTACTATATGTATGTACAGCTGCCAGCAGTGAGATACATATGTGAGTTATGTAAAATGTCAAAAAACTTTAACATCCATTGAAATGCAAAAGTGGATCATATTTTCCAGGCTATGTTTATTACTAAAAATATTTAGAATAGAATAGAATACATGAATAGAATACAAGACATGTTTATTTACACAGATGTGTTTTTGTACGAAACTTGTTGGGAGCAGTAAAATAGTAGTAAAGTACTAAAAAAATTTTTTTTTTAAATACTGAAAGATTTTTGCAAGTTTCATC